TGGGCCGGCTGAACAGCTGCTGGGGGGTGGTGGAGCACGGCCGCATCCTGGGCAAGCTGCCCGGGCAAATGGTGGCCACGTCCCAGGGCGTGCCGCTGCTGGTGCGTCGCCCGGCGCTGGACGAGTTCGTGCTGCTCATGAAGAGGGGACCCACCATCTCCTATCCCAAGGTGAGGGGCTTGGGCCAGACTGGGCGCAGCTGGGGCGCAAAAGCAGGTTGCAAAGAGCCTCCGAGGGCTGGTGGCCGTTCACACCCTGGGCCCTGAGGTCTTTTTGGGGATGCCAGCATGGGTCGGCATGTGCGTGCCATGCATTGGAGCACCTCAGAGCTGTTGGATAGGCAGCACCATACCTAGACTCCTGGCGGTCCCGGGCAGACTTAGTATTTGACTCTTAGTATTGGCCCCCCTTCGCCAAAGATAATGATAATCGAAAGATTTCCATTTTCAGGCCCCGTTTCTGTCCAGGCCCCAGGCAGTGTTCACCCACGACTGTGTCTGGCCCCGAGAATAGGAACCAGAGTGTGCAAACCATCCTGCCCCGCGTTCTTTGCCAGAGGAGCAGTGCTCTGTTACTTCATCGTCATCAGGAAACCCAGTGAAAATTGGCCTTTGCCTAACTAGACGCCCTTCCGGTAGGGTTGCCAACCCTCCAGGATTGCCCCAGAGTCTGCAGGAATGAGATGTAAATCTCCGGGAGACTGCCTAGAGTCGCCCAGGAGAGAAATAATAGGGCGTTCACTAAAATGAATATGTTGAATCCAATTTATATAGTGGTGCAGTGGATTTTTAAAGTGTGATAGTAACGTGCGTTTGTCTTCTTGATGTAAAGTCTGCTCACCGTAATCCGTAACTGGTACACGCAAGGACGTGGCATGTTCACATTGCGTGTCATGGGAGTACTGTGTTTGTGGACACCTCTGGGAATAGATTCAGATAGAGCTGGCCACCCTGCCTTTCAGCCCGGGGAGCTGGTGGTGCTAGCACAACTCCACAGGAAAACCGACTGGCAGTTCAGGCATTTGTGCTACCCAAGGGCCGTTGGGAGGCTGAACAGCAGTGTGGCCTTGGTTCTGAGGAGGGTGCTTCTAGTCTTAAAAAAAAGGCTGAGAACTGCCAGTGTACAGTGTCCCTCAAAAAAAAAGTCTGGAGTTGCTTTAGAGCTGCATTTTCAACATCGGCAGGTCACATTCACCTGCTACCGTAATTTATGGTCGATGGTACTGCCTGCAACTGATGAACACCCAGTGCTGAAATAGCCTGGCACCCTATAGGATGCCAGTGGTTTCGGGCAGAAGGGCAGCTTAGAGGTGGGTACTAGTCTTACTCCTGGCAGGGGAAATGCCACCAAAAGCTTGTGAAACTGGGGCCCACTCCATGGTAAGGGTAGTAGACTGGGCTCTCCGTGAACAGAGAATTAGTAAAATTTACAGTTGGGCGTTTATTTCTGATTATCTGTCTATAGATATAACAATATATTATTTAGCTGCAACCAACAGGCAAATGACCAGCAGGCTCCTTTGGCATGCCAGGCAGTCCTTATTTGAAATCTTTTCATATTAGAAGTACATTTCCTCTCTGTAATAGAACCTCACTGCTAATTTGGAATATTCCAGCATTTTAAATGTAGGGAAACATCAGTAGAGTTTACTTTCAGGTTGCTTCTTTCACGCTGAAACAAAAGGCACGCAGTGGTTTGGGAGGGAAGGAAGAGGGGAGACATATTTTTATTTTCACCACCACAATTTGCCATTTGCTTTATTAGATTGAGGAGTACTATTCACATAAAAATAAATTCTGTCTTTATGGCCTAGATCACCGTTTCTCAACCTGTGGGTCACAACCCAAAAGTGGGTTGCAAGAATATTTCAAAGGGTCACAAGTTGCAGCAGGGCAGAGGGATGGTGGGAAGGCACCTGCCCCTTCCAGCGGGGGAAAGGGGCAGGGGAGAGCTGCATGGCTGGGCTGGCAGCACTGGGGGACACCAGTATGGCCCTGGGGAGACAAGGGACTGGGGGTTGGGCACTGGCAGGGCCAGGGCGGTGTGGGTTGGAACAGGCCATGGATCTTTGAAAATGGTCCCAGTAGGAAAAAGGTTGAGAACCCCTGGCCTAGATCACTGGGTTTTTGTAATCATAAAGATGCTACATGATGTAAAGAAGTAGTCTAACAACTCAGTGTTTGAAGAAACAGTATAAGACCTTGGTTTCTCAACTTAATTGTTTTTACCCATAGGATATTAATGCAATGCTGCTGATGATGGACATCCATCCAGGGGACACCGTGTTGGAAAGTGGTTCTGGGTCTGGTGCAATGAGTTTGTTTTTATCAAGAGCAGGTAAAAAAATCTGTGTCAGCAAATCTGGGAGTGTATTTATTACAGAAGCAATATAAACAATTCCAGTATAAGAAGTGGTACTTTTTCATTAATAGGAGCCTGAAGTTACTAGCCTGCTTGTTTTTAGCATTTTAAGATTCATACCTATTATTTTTATAGTCTGAAATTCAGAGGGCTACCATATACCCTGTAAACCATTTAAACTGTATTTTGAAGACTTAAATCTTGCACAGGCCTTGTGCTAACCCTCTGGACAGGACTGGATTTCACTCAATTTTTGTCATCACCCTTGCCTTATCTTTCTAGCTTCTTTCTTCATTATTCTTAGGTTGCCCTTTTCTCACTGAACCTATGGTGATTGTTTGTGGGTAGTTAGCTTGAAACACTGAGGTCATGATTATAGTGGAGCAGTACATAAAATCCATGTGTTGACTTCACACTGAAATTATTGTTGACATCTTTAACAGAGAACTCAGCAACCGAATGACCCATAAGGTACAGAAATCTTTTATCATGAGTGGTGCTCCCAGTACATTGGCAAGGGAGCGTTATGGACAGCTTGGACTGCAGTGCCTATTCTCTATCTATGAATAGAAACATTTTAGTCTCATTAATGTTTGCCTGGAATTCTAGATACACAATTCACTTGAAATAAAATGTATATATTTATTTTTTACATAATAGTTTGTTAGGGTGAGGAAGATGAAACAATTCAGGTGAAGCTATTTGTTGTTTACTATGTTACTTTTAACCTGCAAATGGGGATAAGGGAGAAATAGTAAAAGTAGTGTGTTTTATTTGCTTTAAGTTGGGCCACAAGGACGTGTTATCAGTTATGAAATCAGAAAAGATCACCACGCTGTAGCAAAGAAGAATTACAGACTCTGGCGTGATGCATGGGTAATAGGACATGTAGAAGAGTGGCCAGATAACGTGGATTTCATTAAGCAAGACATTTTAACAGCTGCTGAGGATATGAAATCTATAACATTTGATGCAGTAAGTCTCTAAAAAGAAACTCCATACCTGACACAATGGGCATTTTTTTTTCTAATTCAACATAAAGTAATTTTCATATCTCTTTCTACCCACTGTGGGATTTCCATGTCTAGGGTGAGTATAAAATGTTAAAGAAACTGTAAAACCTCTCACTTAGCAAAGATGGATAATCCCCATTTTTGTTTGTGAAAAAGCAAGTGTTTGTATGTGATCCAAGTTGAACCTTCAAAAGAAACTGATATTTCTGTATTGTGAACATACTACACTTTTTAATATCTTGTAGGGGGAAACTTACTTTATTTGCTCCCTTTGGAGAAAAGTAGGACCAGGATGGAAAGTGGGCTTTTCTACAGATGAACTAGGTACATATTAACGTAAGGAACAATTACAGAAACTTATTTATGCTATAAAGGCATAAGCACTTTTATTATATCATCCTGTCTCTGAATGAAACTTACTGCAGTGCACAGTGAAGTAGTGAAGAGCACTGCCAACTCTTCTCTCTGCTCTCACCCAAATATTAACATTTTAAAGCACATTTTGTAAACACAATTCTTTGTTTTTAAAATCTTTATTCTGTTAAATTGAAGAAAACTTTTTGTACCCATATTGCTTCTCCACAGAAAGTGGGCAACTGCTTAATACAATAGCTTATTAAATCAGTTTTACTGGACTGACATAAGTCTTTAGATTAAAGGAATAAATAGAGTTTTGTTGACTAGCTCACATGCATGCATGCAGAGTTGCCAGCATCCAAAAGCATATATATCTGACTCAAAATCATGGCTACAAGAAGTTATTATTCCACCCAAAAAATGTAAGTATACATACTCCAATCTTTATCTGCACCTTAAAATGTTTTCAAACAAAGATCTGGGTGGGAAGGAGGGGCAGTTCTTATAGATGGAAGTTTCATGAGTTAAACATCTGAATTTTAATATTTTATTGTGTAATGTGATTTTTCATTATAAATACAGTTGAGTATTTCTTAACTTTTTAAAGAAATAGCCAAAAAGCAATACTTTTACATGAAATCTGCTCCAGACTTTAGAGCTGTTGTTTTGCCAGTAATATATAGTTTAATCACTGGAAGGTTTGATACTAATCTAACTTTCATATACATTGGTTAAATATGAATTGCCCGTTTAGGAAAAACTAACAGGTTCATCAACACTTCCTTTGGAATGGGGTAGCAGTGGGCAATTCAACAGTTTAGGGAGTTTGTTTGTTTTTTGAAGGCATGGGACTTGAGTCTGCCTAATCTTTTCAGAGACGGGAAGAACATATAGATTTTATACTGTGCGAAACAACATGTATTCACACACACATGCACGCGCGCGCGCGTCATACATTCTCTCTCCATAAATTCATTTTTTTTCTGCTTCTGGTAGCCTGGGGAATTTATATATTTGGATATTTATTTGTGTCAACAAATATCTTTCTTCTGTAGGTAGCTTTGGATATGCTTTGCCCTCAGGCTGCTTTGCCTATTGTGTACCCAAACCTTAAACAGGGTGGTGTATGTGCTGTATATTTAGCAAAGTAAGTGTTAAATTCTGGCATTTTAAAGTTGATTTGACTCGGGCATCACTTAAACAATTGTAATTTTATTAAAGTGTGAAATAAATGTGGATTTTTTATTTTTGAAGTATGTATTTAATTCTTGAGCTGTACTTAGTAAAATTTGCTTTGGACCAAATCCTTTAGCCCTTATTTGAGTAAAGCTGCT